CCATCATCTTATACCCGACGGCGTGGACAGCAAGACTTAGCAGCATACGTACTCTCTCCCTCTTACTTGTAAGGCCATCCCTTCATCTATATAAAAGGGGATGCGTTCTCTTCCAACAAAAGATCGATCAGTTTACTAGTACACAACCACAGAACCATCAGGTTCAAACCATGAGCACACGCTCGAACACTTAGCACATAGCGGAGCTCCCATCACTCTCGGCCCCACTGACCAGAGTCCGACCGGACCTCTTGTATCCTCTATCTTTCTCCTTCTCGTTTGTAACCCCACTGCAAACTTCGAGTACCTGAGCTTAGGAATAAAGTCACCGACCGACTCAAACTGGACGTAGAGCACGTTGCCTGAACCAATATAAACCATGTGTCATTGAGTGCTAGGCCACATCCGATCACAACGTACGGTAAAACTATAAATATTTACGTGTTTGTCACTTTCTACACCGACACACAATAAAATAGCTTCAGCGGCTTATCGACCGGCTTTAATATCAGCCGAGCAGAGCTCAAATAAACAAACATTAAATCCCAATCGCTAGTATAAACAAACATAAATCCATGTCTCTGCTCGTGTCAACTTCTTCTTTTGTTTTTACCTACTAGGCCTGTCGCGGTCGCATCGGACGCGTTTTCTGGGCACATGCGGGCCATGTGAGCCTCGGCGGTCGCCACCAATCATTCCTACACGGCCAAGCGCCGACCTTTAATAGGCCAGGCGAGCCTCATCGTTCAACCAACCGACCGGCCGTATTATTTCATGTTATTCTGATAACTAAGTGGAATATGTTGTCATTCTCCACTTTGTATTCGTAATCGTCCGGAATTACTCCCACACGTCAGCAAGCCGTGCAACATAAACAGTGGGAAGATTCAGTTTAAGGAAGAGATTGGCTTGATTTGTATCAAGGGCAAACCGAACCTTGCTGGTTCCCTTAATATGTATTTAGAGAATTTACATTAGTTTTTCTTTCGCTTTTCTGTTTGAGCTTGCAAGCTCCTTTTTGCACATCTTGTGCACTTGTAACTTTATTCCATCAATGATTAATACAAAAAAATAGGTGGGGGAATTCCCCCACTGAGTCCTCAAAAAAAAGTTCTTGGGGGACGACATGTAGGAGATTGCCCTTATGTAAGTTATCTTGTTAGTTAATCTTTTAGGTTTAAATAAGCCTAATCTCTTGGCAAGGCTATGCTTGATGCATTAGTTGCTAATAGTTAGCAGCTAGTAGGGGGGGAAATCAGCTAATAACTTTTTATCATGAAAATTAGCTAAATTGTTTTTTTTCTCTTTTTGAGAATTAAACAGTACAACGCACCCACACTTACCCCTTATGAACTCAAGCACGTAAACCCTATTCCTACGAGCTTCATCGAAGATTGGGCGGCAAATACTTGAGATTGGCGAAGACACCATAGGCGTCTCGCTGTCGTCGTCTATCACTGAAAGCACAAATACCATTCAATCGTAAAAATATTCGTTTCCACAAGGAGTCGAACTCAGATTATGAGATGCTACTAATACTCTTGTAACCACTAGGTTATAGGTCATTTCGCAACTAACTTAATTATTATTTGAGCTCTGTTTGGACCCTCCATCTCATATTTACTAGTAGTACTACTTTAAATCTAAAAAAATAGTTAGTAACACTTAGCTTTGGGAAGCCGGGTAATAATATTTTACTAGCCAGCTAACTATTAGTTCTACTATTAGTTAGGGTGTTTAGATCTACTATTGCTAATTTTATAGCTACTAACAATTAGCACTGATGGACCCAACAGGGCCTAAGTTAGAGTGCTAGGAGACCTGAGCTACTGCACACTCTAACGACTACAGATATAAAAAAGTTGCTCTTGCACATATATCATAAATTTTGAACTTTATTATGAAGCAAAAAAACACAAAATTAAAAACACAGGCCATGTCCGCTTCTTTTATAATCCGTACTTTTCAGCTTGTTTTTTCAGCCGGAACAGTGTTTTCTCTCACAACAAATCAGCCGGAATAGTGTTTCGGCTTGTTTTTTTAGCGAAGCGAACGGGGCCACAATCTCTTATCAACATTCCAAAACAATGAGCTACCGGTTTATTGCTCTACGGCCCATCCACACCCCATCTAATAATTCTGTGTCGAAATTTCTTCCAGCGGGGCGAAGCCCTATATTGTACTCCCTCCATTTCAAATTAGACGTTCTGTTATGAACTTAGATATGTACTTTGTCTAGATACATATTAAAAATAATGTATATCTAGAAAAACCAAAACGTCTTGTAATTGAAACATGAGGGTATCCATGTTAGTTTTTTTTGTTAAGCTAGGCCTAATCTCTTAGTAAGTTGTGGCCTACGGTGGGTACTTATGGGACTAGACTACATGTGCTCTAACGTAAACCAAGAGCATCTCCGTCACATATCCTATTCGGTCTTCTATAGCTAAAAAGTAGCATCTCCATCAGATATCCTACCCAATCTTATATAGCTAAAAAGTACCATTTTAGGATATTGAGGATCTGTAGAAGATCTCCTATCCCATCTTCTATATGGCTATATCTATAATTTGTAAGAGATTTCTTAAAGAAAGCATCATTTCTCCTAAATAAAGGAGACAACCCTCTCTCCTCTGTTCCCTCCGTCCCCAAATAAATCAATTCCTAGAATCCGTACCACATAAAGTGAGCACCTTATGAAAATATATTTTATGATAAATCTAATGATACTAATTTGGTACCATAAATCTTGATGATTTTTTTTAGAAATTTGGTCAAAGTTTAAAAGTTTGACTTAAGACAACTCTAAAAATCTATTTATTTAGGGACAGAGGGAACAGGAGATAGACAAGTTTTAGGTAACCCGCTACATCTTATATCCTAAATTGATTTTAAGTTACTCTCCTAAAACAACTTATAAGAGGGTGGAGATGCTCTATATTTGGACGATATCAAGGGCCTGTTCGCTGGTTGGTGCTGGTGTTGATTTGGGCTGGCTGGTGCTGGTTTTTTTGAGAGGAAAACACTGTTGGCTGGCTGGTTTGGGCTGGCTGAAACCAACAAGCGAACAGGCTGCAAGTAATCTTTCGGAAAATGTTGCTATCCATAACTTGAAAGTATTGAACTTCAAAAAAAATGAAAAGTCAGAATTGTCTTCAAGATACTTTGATAATAATCTCGTAAGTTCATTACTCGGTTTTACATAATTGTTATAACAGAAAATAGTGGTCCAACCAACGCACATTCGGCGGAGGTACCTTTATATCTCCAACTAATTAACTCGTAGATTCCACGCTGTTGAGCTGAGCAAACAGAAATACAGAATGGCGACCGCCATGCTCATAACCTTTGGCTAAAAAGCTATGGAAATGTTGCTACCGTGATTGAGGAGGAGGTGGATCGTTGGCGTCAGGTGGGGTACGACCACCTAGCCGGGCTGTGGGCGTCCAGGGACTTTGGTTGATCTTCGCCGGTCGGAAAAGTCACAAAATTTGTTCTTATGTAATACCAAGTTAGTGCCACCGCTTTTCTGTTGCATGGTTAACTTTGTTCGGCCGTAGTGTGCCGCTCGCATTCTAGACCGACCGGCGTTTACCTATGTAACAATTCATTTTCCTTCTTAATGATATACATGTAAAGCATGGTCGCGGAAAAAAAAAGCTATGGAAAAGGGGAAAGAAATGTTTCATGGAAGTACAAAAAGCACGGGAAAAAGGATAACAAAAAGGGCCCGTCCATTGAGACCATACCGATAATGTATATGAGAGGAACAGTGATGGAGAGTTCATGCTTTTTTTCAGGACAATAATGGAAATGGAAAAGGAGACCCGGCTGGGTATCTGATCTGGATCTTGCTTGTCTGAAACATCAGATCGCAGAATGTTGCGACCATGTGCATGTGTGCACGCGATGCGCACTGACTGAAAAAATTCATGCGCACGACAACAGCAGAGAGGGTTACATATTCGAGAGATCAATTATGGTGCCACTACCATACAAAATTTCAGGGAACCCCAACATGCAAGAATGTTGCGGCATTTGCCCTCTTGGGGGGTGTTTAGTTCCTCCAAATTTCAGAATTTGGCACTATACAAAAAGAAGATTCCCCATCACATTAAACTTGTGGTACATGTATGGAGTACTAAATGTTGACGAAATAAAAAACTAATTACACAGTTTGGTTGTACTTTGCGAGACGAACGTTTTGAGCCTAATTAGTCAACGATTGGACAACTATTACCAAATAAAAACAAAACAACACTGTAGCAACAGTGTTGCTACAGTGTTTCGGCGGCGCCAGCTCGGCGCAACTAAACGTGGCCTTGTTCTGGTCGATCCAACTTTAGCGCTTGCAACACGTTTGTTTCTGGATGTGATGGTATGAAGATCCAATTGAACAATGCGCCTGGTCGAGTTAACTAGTGTCGTTTTTTAGATGGACTGGACAGAATTTTTGTTCGCATAAACTGCCGATGGATGACCGGTAAGTATTTATTTGGTGAAAAACAGCCAAATACACAGTTCAGACCGATGTTTGCCAAGTTAAAAACGAACAAAGGAAACATTTCAGACTAGACTAGAAACGCCTGACTCTTCAGTTTCCTCTGCTGCGGTTTGCAGGTACAGCACAGATCTGAACCTCTGCATCAGAATTCAGAGCTGAAACAGCGCAGAATGTTAGTACTACTCCACAACAACCGCACGTTGCGACGGACGTCCGCGTCGCCCAAATGCACATGCGGAGCACTGGTTGACACGGTCACACGCCCAGGCTCTCAGATCTCATTTCCAGTTTGCTCAAAAGATACATACATACATGGTCATATTTCAGAGCTACTCTACTCCCAGTGTTCTGCAACCCTTTAACACAGGACAGATGAATTCATCGCAGCATGGCATCTCACGCCAGCTGCATCACATCACAATTTCTACTAGTTTCCACAGACCTAAACTTGAAATTACCTTCCTGTGACACGGTACACTCACAAAGACAGTGAAACCTAGTCATCAGAATCCGACGTCAGATCCATTTCGGGGTAAAACGGGCGCAGCATCTTCGCCAGGTGCTCGCCCATGTCCTCGACCTCCTCCTTCCCGAAGCCCCAGTCACGGAGGACCTGCGAGCCCAGTGAACCCCTGGCGACGCCGAGCCTCTGGAGGCTCGTCGACCTCCTCTCAATGAAGGGCACTATGGCGCTGCTCGACCTCAGGCGTGCTGCCATCGGCACTGAGACGACATCGAGCGAACCCTTTGGCCAGGTTCCTTCTGGGTGGCTGTTGCTGAGGATCTCGCCCTGCTGGCCTACGCTGCTGCTGAAGATCGACGGGAATGGGAGTGGGATTGGGAGGGGGCACAGCGATAGTGAGAGGTGGGAAAACTTTGGTTTTGTCGCCCTGCCTTCCAGAGCAGAACAGACGGAGTCCTTCACCTGAGATATGGAAGCTCTTTTCCCGCCTGTATTATCAACAGAATGTAGATTAGCCAACTTCACTTTACATTGTACAGCCTAAAGTTAGCCAGTTGCAAAATGTCTGCTAATAAAGTATTTACAAAGCAAAATCTAGCAGAGTAATAAATGGTACAAATAAAACTGATACTATGGAATAAGATAGCAAACCTGCATCTAGAGCTCCATGAACCACCAAAGATTCAACAGCATAAGGATCTTCATCCTCATCGCTGATTTCAGGAGTCAGAGAATGCAAGCTCCTCTGTATGTTCCTCAGATCTTTTCTATCTGGAAATCAAGAATATCGATCAGCAAACAATATCATTTTTATTCACATCCGACCAAACAGGACATTCCTTGTGTCTGTGTACCTTCAAAGAAGGGCAGGCATTGCTACATCCAGCGCTGTGATCATGTTCTGCCTGCCTTGATCAGATAATATGTGCACAAGCTCACCGACATCAAGCCTACCAGATGAATGTGCTGAATCTGAGGCCGGGCCCACGTGTAAGTAGCCTAAACGGAACAGATAATGAATGTATTGCTGCTGCACAAATGGCACTGGAGTGGAAGTGTCTCTCATCTTTTATAGAAAGCAAAGGTGACAAGTAACCTGAAAAAACAAAGTCAAAAGGAAACACTGTTAGAGGGACACACATCAACAAGCTTTCACAAAACCTACAAATAATTCTGTATAAACAATGTGACAGTGATAGGCATGCTGACAATAGATGTATGTGAGTTATAACAGAATGAGCATTGCATTCACCAACAGTAGGTGTGTGTGAGTTGATTGAGGTGAAGGATGCAACATCTGATTGTTTATTTGGCTTATGATCAAAGATCAGGAAACGAAACATTTGCAAAACTAAGGTCCAAGCACTGCTGAAAGAAGCCTCAAATTACTGAAAAGGATCACAAGTCCAATTATGAGTTTACTGTAGATTTAGTAGAATTATAAGGATTTGCAAATACAAACATGCTACAATGGAGAAGGGATAAGAGAATCACAAGTTATATGACAGTCTATGTAAAAGATTATAAGCAATCGGAACCATACTTAGAGAAGGCAGTCCTACTGGTACCATCAGATTGCAGGAGTATGAAAGTTTCGACAATGACACAGCATCATGCAAAGATCTTATGATGGTTTCGCGCTGATTTCTGGAAGACCCATAGGAGTCTGGATTCCGCACACAATATAGCATTACAGGGGTATTTGTGTAATCATCAGCAATACTCTCCAAAAACTGTGCAGCTACACTGGCAAAGCCTCCAGAATCATCCACAAGAAACTGGATGCCCTGTAATAAATCAAGATAAACAATTTAAAAGGTCGAGTGAAATCAACAAAAAGGAGAGATAAAAAATTTCTGCAAATTCACTAAATATGTAAGTGAACACAGCCCATAGTGTAAATGACTAACTGTAAATAGAGTGTTTATTGATAGTTTGCTGTAAAAAGACAAGACCTGGATATGGTCGCATTCTTCAACAAAGAACCTTAGCCTCTCATTCATCTCCTCCATTTGAGACCATTCTGAAACCACCTCCTTTGCAGTCCCATAGTTATCAAACTTGTCAAAGTCTGTCCATGATCCATACAACTCACACAAGCTCTGAGGGTGATACTGAACTTTTGAATAATCAGTCCAAAAATTGACTCCATTCTCTAGACTTTCAATCAGGTCCTTATCTTCAATATTTTCTCTGGCATTGTTTCGGCCATTGCTAGAGCTTGGGTTCTGTTCTTCTTCAGATAAACTTTGTAGGAACAAATTCCGCTCATGAGGTTTTGCTACTGATTTTGTTACATTTCCGGACCTGCAACAAATGGGATCAGTTATCACAAGATTCCATGATCCTATCATACTGTGTTACAGATTTGTGCTCTCTCATCTCTCAGAGTCAAATTCACCACTATACTAGCATACATCTCATAGCACCAATAGTACAAAAGCAACACTTTCAACAACAGGCAATGATAAGCCAAAAGTTGGACGATGTTCCAAGTAAAGACAGATGTCATGAAGCAATTCTCAAGCTGCTGGATGAGTGTATGCAATGCATCATTAGAGAACTCAAGAATTATAGTACTAAGAGGCTAAGACTGGTAAATTGTGTCTTCTGGCACTGGCAGCAACAGTATTCTACTCCCCCCTTCCAAATTGTAAACCGTTTTGGTTTTTTTAGATAATAGTCATAATGTATATATTTAGGTATATAGCAAAAGTTATGTACATAGAAAAGTCAAGACGACTTACAATTTAGAATGGAGAGAGTACAATTTTATGCAACTGGTTTTGTCTATTTATCTGAACTATAAGCAGCTAGACATACACATGTAAATTTTAGTCTGCAGCTAATGCATTTTCAGCCTCACTCATTGCTCAGACAACCCAAACTACACCGAACAACTGCCTAACCATCTTCAGCTCATAAAGGTGGAACGCCAAGGATGGATGATACATGATGAATTTAGTAAGGAGAAAAATGAAACATAGAAACAAATTGTACAAGTGATAGAAGTTAGAACATTAGAACATCACTTGCCATGTGAAGATGTTGGGCTGATCTGCAGCAGCACTGCTCGAACCTAGAGTACCAGAGGAACTTAACGAGCCAAGAGACCCTGCAAATTGTCACCACCACGTTATTTACACTGCCAGAAACAAAACTACAAGTATGCAGCACTCGTCCACGATTGAGAAATCCTAATGGGCACGCAAAGTGAGAAATGAAAACATGGCCAATCAATCAATTACCTCGAGAGCCTACTGACACCAAGCGAGGGCAGTAGGTGGCAACGCCCTGAACAAGTCGAGCAGTGTCAGTGAACGAACACGGAAATAACCAAAACACCAAAACACTATACTTGAGTGTGTGTGTGTGTGTGGGGGGGCGCCTCCAAGGGAGTGAAAGCCTCTGTCTACCTGCTGTGTCTCGCCGGCGCGGTACAGGACGTCCATGTCCAGCGCGGCGGTGCTGAATACCGGGTCGGCGCCGGGGTCGTCGGCGAGCCCGAGCAGCTCATCCTGCGAAGCAGAACAACAAGGTAAATCGAGCTCTGCACAGCGACTGCAAGGACCCGGGGAACCGATCAACTAATCACCTGGAAGTTCCAGAAGTGGGAGCCGACGAAGTTCGCGAAGCCGCCGACCTGCACCGTCACCACCTCCCTCATCCCTGCCTGCCCTCGTTGCTCCCACGGCGGAGGGCTCTGGATGCCTCTAGGCCCAAGTTGCTCCCACGGTGGACGGAGGGTGACTACGCGGCCGAGCGGGATAGCGAGCAGTGCCGCGGCAGAGCACTGGCGGGCGTCAGGCGTCGGGCGGCGGCGCGAGTGCCATAGAGCGACAGAGGAGCGTCTAGGCGAGAATGCGACACAGAGAGGGCATGGATGCTTACTAGGCTTGGGCTGCTGGGTGGCATGACTGCTTTTGGGCTAAATGAATTTGGGCCAAAAGTCCTTGGACTTGGGCCACGACTAGGGCCATGGCCCTAGTGGGCCCTAGGCCTGGGGCCGCCGCCCCTTGCAAGGATGGATTAGGTGCCAAAAAAAAAATGAAAGTTCCTCCAAGAGTGTTTAGCTGCTAGTTTGCAGGATCAGGAATCTAGAAACACACAATTTTCCCCTCAAAAAAAAAAAGAAAAGAAACACACAAATTTTCAATTGATGTTTTTTAAAAAAAGGTTTCAAAACTTCACTAGCCATGGTATTAGACAATTTGCCTTGAAGATATACAAAATTAAAAAAATAATCTAAAATTTCTTCTTTGTGACGATAATAATGCCAAAATATCTCATGTTGTCTCACCTTCATGGCATCTTGACTTTTGTTTTCCCTATTTTTTAGTAGTAAAAATAATTAAAATAAATATTATGGTAGTTTTCTGATATAAATTATGTTGAAGTCAAAGCTAAAACCAGGCTTAGGGATTTCTTTTTTAAAATTGCTGGAGAGTGGGGATGGTTGGAAATTGGAATAGTCCCGACGTGAAGAGAAATGTACTGTAGAAGCATGGCGTGAAGAGAAATCGAGAAGAATTGAAGCGAGCCATAGCTGGTGACTGGACCCCGGTTCCCTGACTGAGATAAAAACTGTACGGCCTGCACGGCAATCGGGAAGCTACGAATCCGATCTCATCATCAGTATCAGTATGAATCCGTATGAATCGGCCCGTTCGCTTGTTGGTTTCAGCTAGTCCAAATTAACTAGCCAATAGTGTTTTTTTTAAAAAAAAAAACCAACACCAGCCAGTCCAAACCAGCACCAGCACCAACCAGCGAACAGGCCAAATATCTATCTGCTGGCCCGTATAAAACACGCAAGATCAAATTGAAGTTGAGCAGCTCAAGAAAACCTCAAAGGATGCTTTCAGTTCTTCGAATCAGAACACAGATGAATCTGCATCAGATTGCCAAAAAAAAAACAGCAGAGATGACAGATGTATGTATTTCCGAGTCAGGCAGCAACGCTAGCAATCCTCATCCTCCTTTCGTAGATACAAAAACCGATCGATCTCCATGAAGGCGATGCGATACAGCCTCAAGATTGTACAATGGGATGTAAAAAAAACAACACATCTCATCTCATATGCCATACTCTCGATCAACCCCTAGAACAACACGCAGCGAACACTCACTAAGATCAGTTCATCACATCCTCCTCTCTCTGCCAAACAAAAAGAATCCTCTCAACGGCTGTACAAAAAATGCCGCATCCGCAGTGTCCTCGTCATCACCAACGCTGCACCATCCCTTCTATACTGCTGTAAATTGTGATCCCGTCCAAGGACACGGATCATCATTTCATCAAGACGACGATGCCTTTGTCCCGTGCGGCTGCTGCACCTGCATCTCCCAGCCGTAGCTCTCCGACCTGCCGCCGCCCTCGGCCTCGTCGCCGCCGTCGCAGCTGTCCCCGGCGGTGGCCGACATGGCCCTGCTCGACACCGTCAGCTGCAGGGGCCCCTGCGGCGACCCGGACTGCGACTGCGACGTGCTGTGCTGCGACGTCGCGTACTGCTGCTCCGGCGCCGACGACCACAGCCCGCCCGCGGCGGCCGCCACGTGCTGGTCGACGCCGCCGACGTCCGACGACGTGCGCCGCGTGTGCAGCCTGTATTTCTGCAGCAGCGTGACAAAAGAAATATTTGTGAGACACTGAGTGATTAGATAATTGGAATTGCCTAAGAGGAAGAAGAAGTTGCGTTCCATTACCTGCAGGTGGCTCTTGACCTCGTCGTTGGTGAGCCCGTCCACCTTCATCAGCTCCCTGATCTGCTTCGGCGTCGCAACTGCAGCACGCAAACACAATCGCGAATTCAGCACGAGGAATCGAGCGAGATCAAGAAACATATGCACTGCACAGACAGCGCAGGCAGAGCAGGGCTGGCAACCGATGCTATTCCTGACCTTGCGCGCCGCCGAGCCGCTGCAGGGCGGCGACGAACCGGCGGTGCAGCTCGGGCGACCAGCACCTCCTGGCCTTCCTCTGCTGCTGCGCCTGCGCCTGCGCCTGCGCCTGCGCCTGCGCCTGCTGGTGCTGGCGCTGCGCCCCGGCGGCGCCCGTGACGGCGCTGCTGGTGGCGCTCGGAGCGGCGGCGGCCGACGGCGGGGACGAGAGGGACAGGTCCGGGACCGGCATGGCGCCGGGCTTACCGGCCGCGTCGTCGGATGACCTCACGAGCGTCGGCACGCTGGCCAGTGCTGGCATGAACGCGGTGGACACCTGGTGTTTGGGAATTTGGCAGAACAGGTTTTTAGCACAAAGGCATGTGGTGTACATTCCTTGTAGTACTAATTAACAACATGTGTGCATGTATATAAACTAGCTACACGTTATTAGCTAGCTAATGTGATTAAACTTGGGTGAAGCAAAAAGATTATATGAAGCTAGATTAGGCTCTTTGTTCTTGTGTGGGGTAGGAGATTTCTGAACTTGAACTCATATTTGGCATGCTGTGCTTAATAAGAATAATTAAAAGAGGTTGCAGGAAAAAGAGGTCCTCAAAACAAACCAAACCCATTTTTAGGTTTGTCTCGCTGTGAATATCACATGCTCTGTCTGAAACAAACAAATATTCTTTCCTTCTTCTACCTAGCTGTACCATAAAATTCGCCTCTTTTTACTGGGACCAGAAAGGTTCCTCTGTTTTTCCCACCAGTAGGAGCTTATCAGATGATCTCTCCGTACAATTAAATTTGCAATGATCTTGGTTGAAACAAATTCGCAAGTACCAGTGTTGTTTGTTAAAAGAAAAACTAAAATGAAGGAGTTTCCCAATAAGAATTTAGCTGCAAATTGTGCAAAGCACGCCAACAATTTCAGCACCAGAATGAACGGCACGTCTCCCTGACGAGTGACGCCCGCGTTACCGTACCTTGTTGTGGGCGGCGGCGACGCCATTGGTGTTGGCGGTGCTGTCGTCGTGGCTGCCGCAGCTCCAGAGCTGCGCGGAGCTCATCCAGCTGCGCTTGTCGTTGGCGTCCGCCTCGTCCTCCGCCTTGACGGCGGCTCCGTCCTTCGCCGCCGCCGCCGCCGCCGCCTCGGCAGCAGGCGCGAAGAGGTCCTGCGGCCGCTGACGGCGGTGCTGCGCGAGCTCCTCCTTGAGCCACTCGATCACTGCACGGAAGTAGGCGACGGGGAACAGGGGATCAGGAACAGCACCGGATCACCGCACGGTGCACGCAAGCAGGCGTTGGCAGGGCAGCAGAGGAGCACACGTACCGTCGGCGACGAGGTGGACGCTGATGGGGAGCTCCCGGCGGAAGACCTCCATCTTGGCCTTCTCGGCCTCGAGGCTGCGGACGCAGTCCCGGAAGCGCGCGGCGCGGTCGGCGGCCGAGGACCGGGACGCGGCGGCGCGGAGCGAGTCGGTGACGGCCCGCGCCGCCAGCGCCCGCAGCTGCTGGTGGTTGTCCTCCTTCCGCGCCATCATCGACGGCACCCGGCAGGCGAGGCGATCCACCGTGCGTACGTTCTCCTCCCTGGACTGCTGCCAGTTGCTCGCTTCGGGACGAGAGGTGGGCGCGGGCTGCTGCTGGTTGCGTGCTGTTGGGAGAGGGAGGGAGGGGGAGTTCGATCGCCTCGTCGGCCGGTTTATACCGGCAGGGCGGGAGGGGGGCAAGAAGATCCCGTGAGGGCAGAAGGGTCATTTGGTGCGTGGGAGGTGGAGAAAAGATGCCGCTCCGCTTCTGCGGTTTCTCTTTATCCCATGCTCATTTTTTGCTCGCTTGTAACAAAACAAGGTTGGGGTTTTCCATTTCTAATTTAATTTAACAACCCGAGACCATCTGCGCTCATCACACAATATTTTCTCTTCTTTTGTGTGTGTGTGTGGACGGAGGGCCGCCACGCAAAATGGCGAAACTTTGAGGTGGCGGCATGCATGATGCATGGCATATGGGTTTCATGCCGAGGGCTCCGCCAGAGTGGTGATTTCGTGCCGTTAGTCTACGCCGCCGGCGCATCCGATCAATGGCTCGATGCGAGCGACGGACGGGAGCACGGAGCATTGGGAGATGTCGATCATTTCTGCCTTTCTTTTTTGATAAATTCTGGAGTACGTGGCTTCGTGGGTTGCTAATGCTGATTGTTCTATTGGGCTAATGGGCCATATTTGCAGCATCCAACATGCCAACATGATGCTACCATTATATACATGTATACTATATTTGTTTGGTTACAAAATCATGGGTATTCCGTGGCATACAGGGGCATACCCCTGGCGCCGCCCATGTACACATTTGTCTATTCGTTTCACTGAAATTTGGCTTATGCTGATTTGCTGCGAGAGGGAAACTTCGCTGAAAAGTATTGCTCGGGTAGTTAGTTAGATGCGTAATGTATGACATAGTACTACGTGTGAGAGATTGGTTTCTTACAAACGAAAGTGTGTGTGTGTCTAGGATTCATCGACTTTCCGCGAACATCAACGGTGAGTGAATGTAGACTTGAAGCGCTTCAATAGAGACACGTACAAATGTTAGAACGGAGACGGTGAATCTTATTGAGAAAGGTTTTGATCGTTTCGCTGAAAAAACAAGCTGAAAATATTATTCCGACTGATTTGTTGAAAGAGAAAAACACTGTTCTAGCTGAAAAGACAAGCCGGAAAGCACGGATTAGGACAAGAGAAGATCGAGCGTGTCACCGTCCGTGTATTAAATGCAGCAACATGCAAAGCGTGGATGGGGTTGTCGTCAGATACTCAGATGTGAAAACCACGCATATTGTTGGACGACATGTGTTTAGGGCAGGTGTTGCTGTTTCAAACGGATCTCCTTATCAATTCCAAAAATATACCCCATCTCTCGTGATTTCAAACGGTTTGGATCGACTCATAGCGAATCAGTACATTCTAACCATACCCTACAGTTGGATGCTAATGTTGATGTAGCTCTCTTCTAGCTCGGGTGTTTCTTTTACAAGTTTTAACTCTGATTTAGAGTCTGTTTGGTATGCCTCTGGCACCAGAATCGTGTAGATCAAAGCACACGATCAGAATCCACACCAAACAATGCCTTAAACAGCACATCTCCTGATTGATCAGTCGTTTCAATTAGGTCTAAAAATATGATACATACGATTTATCCCATCCTTCTGGAACTATTCATTTTTTTTAAAAAAAGGACTATCCATTTTTTTAGCAGACAAAAGCACTGATATGCACATTATCTATGCACAAGTAAGCGTCAACGTAGTACAAGATAGATTGTGGATATTTTCATGTCATCATACCTGTGAAAATTGAGAGGTTTGCTCTCGTACTCGTACCCTCTTGGCCCAATAATAAGCAGCAAATGCAATTCAGCCCTCACACTCTACCATCTCTGTCCGGCCATGCTAACAAAGCTAGGACATCGAGAGTGACATACACTACACAAAATTAAATAGCACTTAATGTTGAATTACTCTCACAAAGTACTCATGTGTACTAAGTAGTACTACTATATTAATCACAAGGACGACCAAGTTTTACTCCAAGAGAGTGAGGTGTCGAGTAGACAAGGCAGCAAAACTAGATCTCGTTTGACATAACTGTGGATCTTTGCTATAGCACGCGGAGAAGCCCGAATATTGACTTTGTTGGCTTCTAATTTATTTTACAAGAGACATAGAAACATTTTTTTTAGAACAACCCGAGAGACTTTTCATATCTTTTCTAATTCATAGGAATGAAGATTTTGATAAAAAAAAATACCCTCCAATATTCTCTTTAAGTAGATATCTAAATATACATTCTCTATTCTGGATTTTTCGTTGGAGAAAGATGGAGAATGAGAATGACTCTCTAGAGTGGATACAAAATACAGAAAATTTGGTGGAAGATAAAAGACATATTGAAAGCAATTTTTACTTAAATAACTCTCTCCTTCTGAGTGATTCATCTAGAGTGCATACAGAATATAGAAAAATTGTTGGAGTAAATAAGAAAAGTTGTTAGAGGATAAAAAATGAAGATTTAGAGAGCAAATTTTAGAAAGATGTTTGTGGCCACGTGAAGATGTCTCCCGAGTGATTCATCGGCAAGTAAACTCAGTCGACCACGTGGTAGTGGATCAAGCATTGGATAATTGTGGCAGAACCGCCCAAAATAACACACTTTCGGAGGCGTTCGTCTTCCACTAGACACTAAGCACTTCGAAAGCAAGCTATATCGAACGGTTCTGTCGAGCACACCCCAAGGAAGAACTCGAACAATCCACGTTTTTTCTCTGGGATCCAATAATGAGAACGAGTTCACAATACTTAGTCCATTTCATACAACAAGAGTTCTTAGAAAAACATTATTACAATACCTAGTTCAGAGTGTGGAATTTAAACAACGGAATTACAATAAACATCTAATGATAAGATATAAGGATCCGTCTGTACCCACCAGAAGAATCCTCCACACAACAGCTACTCCTCAAGTTGCACCGTCAACAGGGGTAAATAAACCCTGAGTACACAATGTACTCGCAAGACTTATCCGACTAGTGAGAATAATTTCTCGACTCCAAAGAATATGATAAGCTTTATGGTTTACTAGGTTTCCTTTTTACGAAAAGCAATACTAATAGTTAATTCTTATGTATGTTTCTTATTAGCAGTCATGATTAGTTCATTATCTAACCATTCTATGTAAGCAACTGTTCTACCTTCAAGCAAGAGTTGAGCAATCAGATCCATTTCGCCATCTTTCATCTTCCAGTTCTTACTACAGTGCTAGACCGTAGACAAGTCGTACCGTATTACACGGTGATTCATGAACCAATGTAGCCCAGATGGATACCCCGAAACACAGGCCCGGCTTGTACCCTAGGCACAAGCAAGGCCAACCCACCACTCTCCTATCAAGGGGTCTAAGTCTCCGTTCAAACTTGGACTCCAAGCCCCCACTCCTGAGTCCCGGACTCAGTGTGGTGGTTAGACCTCAACCATCCCCGTCTCTAATCAGTCGGTCCGGAAGGAGCCAGAACCCACGACAAGAGAGCAACGAGCCTTCCTGTCCCCATAAGCATGTATGTGCTCAGGATAATAAGTCTATGACTTGACTAGAATCCAATGCAACGGCCGGTCCTTAACCGACACAGATAGGAAAAACAGTGTAACCAAGCTATGCCCCGTTGGCCGCGGGATACAACCTATTACACCCACCAATATCCGTACCATATCCCTATCCGATCTCCATTTCCTTTTACTATTTTATCATGAGAGTGATAATAATAATCACCTATTGTGAGTAACGGTAGGTTACTTACGCTACCGATAGCCTAAGCATAGCAGCTACTGGACCTATGCTAGTAGGACTCATAGGTAGGTTTATCTATGTATGTAATTTCAATATAAATCTTGTAACGTAAATGCACATTACATATATATATCCAGTGATCATTCAAAATAAGGGTTATGCACCGGGGCTTGTCTTGGGCAGGCGGGGTGTCAGCTCAGTCAGTTAATGGTGGCTCCGAGACCTCCTCCTGCACGAGGATCTCCTCCTCGAACTCCTCGAACTCGTGATCTCCGATGGCCACGATCTCCGCCAATTCGTTCTCTACATGCATGCGATGATGCAACATGTTAATATTAAGGCAACAACAATTCTTAAAATAAGAATACATCTACTAAGCCACTAAGCTAGCTCTAATGGTTAAGATACTAACCACTTATCATTTCCACAAAAACAGGTATGGATTCATCTAACGGTTATTAACTTAGCAACTAAAATATAATCTTACTCTTATTAGCGATTTAACTTATATTACAACAAGGAGCACCTAACTATGCTAGTACTTAGCCTATTCTAAGGCTACAAAATAAAAGGAAAAACATAATAATACCATGAAGCTATTGTAAAAATTTTCAAACCTAAAGCTATCACCAATTTACCATAAAAATTCCTACAATATTTAATCTAATACTATTAAGCACTCTCAAATGATTTAATAGCTCCTAGTATCAACAAGCACATATGAACTGAATACACTAACAGATAGAGCGTAATTTTAGGAACTTAATAAAATTTGTTTCACAATTTTTGGATACCTACATGATTTTATATTAATTACCAAAGTTCAACTCAGAATTAAAATAAAAAACTATTTCTATTCTCCACAAAAAAACTCAATTGATTTTGGCCCAACGCGGCCCACGCAAGGCGTAGCCCACATGCGGAGGCGGCCCACGGCGGGGAGCCCGCTCGCGCGCTGGCATTCTTGCAAAAACGCCCTCACGTTACCAGAAAATCGCGCGAACACTACACGACTATTTCTATAGACAACGACTTTGCAACGGAACCCTCGGATATTTTCACTTTCGCACCGGAGAGGTCCCCAGGACGCCCCGCGCTCGCCGACACGGTGGGCGGAGGCACTAGGCGGTACGCCAGCCACCTGAGACCCTTGCAGACCTATCTAGGGGGACCGATGCTCACCTATGGGGCGACGCGCGATG